GAAATTGGTGGCAAATTGCCATTGGAGCACCACGGCTAAGACAAGTAACAAATCTTACCTGCTTTGTAGACGAATCATCCACGATTGTCTCTACCACTTGCCTGGCTCTCCAATTAAATCCTTTCTTTCCCATTTGATGTAACCACAGTAATCCACTAAAATAATATATTACACGAGGTAAACAAAACACCACAAATCATAGAGGTTACCATCCACAGAACATCCTAGGAGCCCCATGCCCGGAGGATGTTCTGTGTTACCATCAAATGATGATGAAAGCTCTCGCCGGCGGGTCGGAGAACTAACGGAGCTGGGATTTCGAACGGGCTTTTCAAATGCATTCAACCTTAAATATTTATTAAAATAAATATGTTATAAAACATGTTATGTTGTATGTTATCAAAAAACAATGTAAAGGGCAAATTCACATGCAAGACAGATCATAATTTATTCATGACACTAGCTCTCGCCTACATCTTTTGCTAGATTTTTCCATATTCCATAAGTGATGCCAAGATAGGAAAATTCTTTTTCGAAAACAAGAAAATTAATAGTTTTCAAAGCATCCAAACGTTTCAAAAATCTTCATCATTAAAAAACATGATAATCAATGTTTTATAATTATTGGATCTGTAGAGTGCAGTTGGGTTTTCGTAAAGCCATTATTTAAATCTTCTAATATTTCTCAATGAAGCAAAGCGCAAAAATTTCTTTAGATATCTATCCCTATTTCGTTTTTACCTACAGCAGTTCGTTCAATAATCCTTTAGCCACAATGAAAATTACTGAGAAAACAGATTAATCAGCGCTTAAAGTTGGAATGGAAAACTAGAAAATTTAAATATATTTAGTAGAAAAAATTGAAGAAAATAAATACTTTGTTGACAGCAGTTTATACTTGTATGTAGTTTGGGCAAAGTATAAAAAAAACAATTCACTTTAACAACGAGAGAAAGATGGTAAAGTTGTGCTGTGTTGTGTGTAAACTGAATGTTAGTTCTCTAATGTCAAAGAGAGATGCCAAAAGGGACACGTTTAAGGGATAAAACATATTATACGTAATAAACGGTAATAAATATATTTAAATCTGAACTAAGTAATAAAAAACTACAATAATATCAAAAAGACTCAGATGTGAAAACGACGATATCAGTTAGTTGAAAGGAAAAAAGCTGCATACTCAAAGTCACTAACTTGACTGATCGGAAGTTGTTGTTGGGTAATTTCAAGTTGCCATGTTGGTAGCTCTCTTTGCATTCGTATTTGGATTGCCTGTCAAACGTCAACTTCCTTTTTACATGGTTGATTGCCGAACTACCACGTGCGGTACAACGATTTCCTGATCATTTCTAGTGAAATTCTGATCAAAAGTAAGTTTTTGTGTCCCACATTATTAGCGCTAAATAATCCCTTAGCTGTACCGCAAAGTGCAACCATTAAGCGCTTAAAATTTCTTCCCTCAGATGCCTTTAGCGGTCGATCTGTTGCACCCTAGCCCAGAGAACCAAAGAAGGGCGCATAAAAAAAAGCGACTGGTTCAGCATCCTAACAGCTACTTTATGGATGTGAAGTGTCCTGGATGCTATGCGATTTCAACGATATTTTCGCATGCCCAAAGTGCGGTGCCATGCAAAGGGTGCTCGACCATCCTATGCACGTCCACGGGGGGAAAAGCCCGACTGACGGAAGGATGCAGTTTCCGTCGGAAGCAGCACTAAAAATGTATAAAAATATATTTTAAATCTTAAATTAACCTTCATTCAAAGGAACTGTTATTTTCTTACTGTAAAGAAATTAAGGTCTTAAGTCTTCGCTTTTTCCTATATGCCCCTCTAATTGAATTGGGCTTTGGAGCCGGCTTGTCATCGAGAATTACATTTCTATTTTTAATAGCTTCTGGATGGGCTTCTTCTCGGTAATGCCTCCTCAAGCCATTTGTTTAAACCAATGCAATTGACGTCACTTGCGAAAGTTCCTCAGAAGTGGCTTGAACGGTTTGCAAAGACTATCAAACTGGCTCGATTCTTATGTTTCGTTTTGCGATCGACGATTTTCTCAAGCCTTTTCCGGTGTGTTTTTGACAAAATTCGGGTAACCGTAACTTTGTTATCTTTCGTCTTGGTTTTTCGCTTAGTGGATGGTAGCACCAGCTCATTGCTTTGGTCATAATGTCCGTTGACGTTCAAATTGTGTTTTATCTGAAATTCACATATTATACTTTGTATGTGTACTTATACATAAAGTAATTGCGAATCTGATAATAACTAAGTAAAATGAAAATTTGCTTTAGTGGCTGCAATATAAGCAAGTAGGTATTTTTAGAGTTTCTCAATTCAATGCAAAGATGCCCCAAATGTCGCTCCACAACAAATTATAGCGCTCATTTTGTGCCTTCAGTGATGAATTGTTGGTAGTTAAAGCATTAAGTAGACGTGAAACAAAACAGCTCTATTGGATGGGACTTTAACATGTCTCATGTTATTAGCAGCAGGTGGTAGTAGACCTGTAGATCTGTGGTTTGATTCCCAGCCATGCCAGCAAAAACATTTATCAGGAAATTGGTGGCAAATTGCCATTGGAGCACCACGGCTGAGACAAGTAACAAATCTTACCTGCTTTGTAGACGAATCATCCACGATTGTCTCTACCACTTGTCTGGCTCTCCAATTAAATCCTTTCTTTCCCATTTGATGTAACAACAGCAATCAACTAAAATAATATATTACACGCGGTAAACAAAACATCACAAATCATAGAGGTTACCATCCACAGAATATCCTAGGAGCCCCATGCCAGGAGGATGTTCTGTGTTACCATCAAATAATGATGAAAGCCCTCGCCGTTGGTTTGGAGAACTAACGGAGCCAGGATTTCGAACGAGCTTTTCAAATGCATTCAATTTCAATTATTTATTAAAATAAATATGTTATAAAACATGTTATGTTGTATGTTATGAAAAAGCAATCGAAAGGGCAAATTCACATTCAAGCCAGATCATAATTTATTCATGACACTAGCTCTCGCCTACATCTTTTGCTAGATTTTTCCATATTCCATAAGCGATGCCAAGATAGGAAAATAGTTTTTCGAAAACAAGAAAATTAATAGTTTTCAAAGCATCCAAACGTTTCAAAAAATCTTCGTCATTAAAAAACATGATAATCGATGTTTTATAATTATTGGATCTGTAGAGTGCAGTTGGATTTTCGTAAAGCCATTATTGAAGTTTAATATTTCTCAATGAAGCAAAGCGCAAACAATTCTTTAGATATCTAGCCCTATTTCGTTCTTACCTACAGCAGTTCGTCCAATAATCCTTTGGCCACAATGAAAATTACTGAGAAAACGGGTAAATGAGCGCTTAAAATTAGAATGGAAATCTAGAAAATTTAACTCGAAGTCACTAACTTGACTGCACAAAATATCCCCCTATGGGGGTATGTTCTGTGCTTGACTGATCGGAAGTTGTTGTTGGGTAATTTCAAGTTGCCATGTTGGTAGCTCTCCTTGCATTCGAATTTGGATTGCCTGTCAAACTGTCAAACGTACACTACCTTTTTACATGGTTGATTGCCGAACTAACACGTGCAGTACAACGTTTTCCTATTCATTTCTAGTGAAATTCTGATCAAAAGTAAGTTTTAGTGTCCCACATTATTAGCGCTAAATAATCCCTTAGCTGTACTGCAAAGTGCAACCATTAACCGCTTGAAATTTCTTCGTTTAGATGCCTTTAGCGGTCGATCTGTTGCACCCTAGCCCAGAGAACCAAAGGAGGGCCCATAAAAAGAAGCGACTGGTTCAGCATCCAAATAGCTACTTTATGGATGTGAAGTGTCCTGGATGTTATGCCATATCAACGATATTTTCGCATGCACAGAGTGCGGTGCCGTGCAAAGGGTGCTCGACCATCCTGTGCACGTCCACGGGGGGAAAAGCCCGATTGACGGAAGGATGCAGTTTCCGTCGGAAGCAGCACTAAAAATGTATAAAAATATATTTTAAATCTTAAAAAATAAACCCTCATTCAAGGGAACAGTGAGTACGTTGTTATTTTCTTACTGTAAAGAAATTAGGGTAAATGTCTCACGATTTTCAAGCTATTTGAATCTACCAAAGATCGGTCGTAATGTCTGTCTAAATTTGTAAAATACTTCAAAACTAATGGTGATTTCAATACATTGACCATTGAAAAGTACTTTTTGTGATCTTTTTGCCTATTTAATGTTCTTTTTCAAATTGAGTTCAAGCTCTCTTTCGTTTTGTGGCACATGGCAAAATCATCTCGTTTCTTCCTATACTTTCACTGCCTTAGGATGGGGATAAGTACTCAAAGGGAATGGGACGAATCATGTTTAGATCTTGCACCTGCAAATTTACTTGGAAGGGTTACAGTCATGTTCTGCAGATAATTTTACCGCACTATTAAACGAGGACCCAATAAAACTCCCTTTAAGACCCACACGCTTGAGAGAACCCCTATGCATTGGGCAAATGGGAATCTTGAAAAGCTTGTTAATTAATCGCTTTGCGAAGCGAAAACGCCATTCAATTTGTAGTTTCGTGCCAATTAAAACATTTTCAAGAACATTGCTAAGAAGCGAATCCATGTGGAATTATCATTACTATTCGAGCTGACTAATGAAAATGTACTTGTCATAGCAAATTCCATTATATGCATTGGAGCACGTTTTACCATTTTCTCCAAATCCACTGCATTTAAGAAAAAAAACTAACGGGATTAATTCGTCTTTAACCGACAATTTTTTTTAGTTTCATTAAAAAAATACAACAGGTTTGTACCCCAAATACACAGAGGCTCTTAAGCACCAAATTAACTAATTCTCGCTAAACAAAATCATGAGACAAACCAAATCTCCTTAGGGGCGAATTTTGCTTTTGCTATTTGCTTCCTCCCAAATCCTAAATTCTTGCATGGTTTTGGGAAATATAACTATTCCCCAACTGGATTGAAAATTTAATGTTTGGTGCCTTTAATATTCATTTGCAAACATCTATAATTCAGCTAAATAGGAATGTTATCGCACGTTAAATAATGTGCGGGGTGTTCAGTATTGGATTCATACGGCAAAAGCTCTCGGTAGATATCTATCTTACAAAATAGCAACCTCTCTTATGAGAATGTGTGGGCAAAGCTTCAATTTCTCAGAAATAAAACCGTATTTTTAAAAACAGTCAATTTCGCTACTTTTAAAAAATTTGACTGAAAAAATGAAGAGCACTAGCATTGACCAAAAAAACCGTTGTGATTTTCCAACCACTCCCACACCCAGTGTCCGAGAAACGAAGCATATTCATACGTATTTTTCTGTTATTTTCTTCCAAATAAGCTCTTGCCACTTGAATCCCACCCCATCTAATGTAACATCTAATGTAAAAACAACTAAAATCTACACAATAATTATGCGCAACAATGCTCCTTACCTATAATATTTATGCATGTTATATTTAACTACTTCGTGACCTAAAAGCAGCTTAATAACTTCAATAAAATGCCACTCTTTAGATGAACTGGGCAGCTTAGTTTTTGCAAATCATATCATAAGCTTGGAAAACGTATGGAGCCACTTCAACAGATCTGGACTTCAAGCTTAGGGTCGCATAAGTTAAACCTGGAGTCAGTTTCAGCTCCAATAAAACCCAAATGTTATTGGTGAGTTTCAGCGATTGATAGAGCATATCTTGCCCTTCGACGTTGCGCTTTGCTATCGTGAAAATGTTGTTTAAGGTCATTTTGTTGGAGATCGAATCGGTTGTTCCTTTAATGTCATTCAAGGTGTATTGAACCTGAAATCATACCGTGCAAACCCTCCGTTAAATACATAACTGGCATAATTTACTTCATTCGCAGATGGGATGTCTCTCCAAGTAGTCAAAAATACCCGTTTGTCCAATGTTCCATCTTCAATAAACAGAATCTGGATAGGGATTTGGCACGCGTAGTAGAACACGTCCACGTTGTTTTTTATTGCCACCTAATTCAAAACGAGAAAACTAAAAAGTCCTGAATAGAGTAAAAGCAGTACCTGCAACGTGGTAAGCGGTTCCATCCTCTGCACTGGGCCAGTGGTGCCCAAAGGCAAACTGTACTCCAAGCTTTGCCCGGGCTGCAAAGCTGAAACGTTCATTGGAACCGAGGGCGACAGCCCAAAGCTGTTCTTGTTGAATTGGATAGCAAATCCTACCATAGCCTAAAGTTCAAAAAATTCAAACAGAAATTGAGACGTCGCATTTCAATCCAAGTAACCAACCTGCATGGCTTTATTGGTCAAATTCAATTCCATGTAAATCTGCCCTGAACGTCGGGCGAATGTTCCTTGAATTACCAACCCTTTGCCCTTATCTGCTGGTAACCAAAGAGCCTAAAAACGCCACAATTACCACATTTTCCTAGTCCTTTAACCGTACAAGAGCTTCGACAATCAGAAGCCTTCATATGTTACCGGCAATCGGCAAAATGCCGTACGCGCCAGTCAATCTGAGTGTTAGAAATGCTTACTCTTCACAAGTATAATAGGTACCTGATGCTGCAAAACTTTCAGTTAATTTAACGAAGAAACCCAAGACAAAACAGCGACGCAAAAGGAAATCAAAAAGGTCTTAAGTACACGATATTATTTTTACTGTTTAGCCGCTATAAGTTTTCCCACTCAATAAGTATCTTTAGATTATTTTTTAAATGTTTCTCAAGTGCTATGTTTTTAATTTTGTTATTTAGTTTGTTAAAAAGTTTTATTTTCATATAATGTGGACTTTCTCGACAATAATTAATCCAAGAACCTGATAGCAAATCTTGTTTGTTCTAGTGTTATAATTATGCCTAATATTAGGACTAAACAGCTTTTTGTTTTTAAAAGTAAATGAAATTGTCTTAAAAGGTCTACAAGTTTTGCTGCTAATATTTAAAAAAATAACACATTTTGGGGAACTTTAATTTATCATTCAGTGAAAAGAACTATAATGCGTTGATCGCTCGATAAAAGCGAGAGAATAATCCAAAATTTTGACAAAAGTGCAGTTAGTGTAACAGCAAGAATTACAGATTGAAAAAATAGTGTTCATTCATTATTAAACCGTAGTCAATTTGCAGATTACCCAAAGTCAGTCTACAAAGTGGCTGGCGAGTTGACGAGTGTGCAGAATACTTGGGAATTTTGCTGACTACCGGTGTAAACACCTATACAGGACGTATTTGTTGAAATCTAAATATTACCTTGGGCGGTGTATACATGGTGGGAGTGGTAGTAATTCCGAAAATATCGCCCAAAAGACCGGTGGTTGAAGGAGCTGCGCCCCCCGTAATGTCAGGACCTGTCCCCAACTAGAAACAAGCAATTCAAATAAACGTAGAAGCCTTCAATCATCCCTTTTACCAGCACATCTAGGCCGCCGCCCAATAAATCCACGTTGCTGGTTGGAGCAGCTGCAGGAACCGGAGGAGGAGCTGCTGTCCCTCCCAGATCCATTGAAAGCAGATCGCCGATCAGGCTTTCTTGGTTGGGAATCACTGTGGCTTCGGGGGCTACAGTCTCATCTGAGCCTTGGCGGACTGGAAGCGTTTTCCTGATACCTGGATCGCATGAAATCAGCAACTCGAGCAAAGGTTCCTAATTTGCGGAGCGCAAAAAACCCACCTGCACTTCTGCCTTCGACAAAAGCAGTAGGTGGCTTGTGATAGACACTGGCTAATGACGATATGTGGCAGATCAGTTCGTCTAGAAGAGTGGGCTCGAGTAAGTCGGTTTCTTCAGAAATGAGCGGCTTGTCGGCCAGAACGACTTCTTTTGCTGCTGCTGGATCAGTGCTGAGTAATCTATTAAAACCGGAGTTTTTTCAGAGTTTAAATCCGTCCCAACAACGCACTTACCGCCAGTAGATGAATCCTCTGTCCCTCAAATCTGGATTATCAGAGTCTTGTGTTGCCAAGCTCAGCACATGCTGAACTAGACCCTGAGTATGCTGAGGTCGCTTGAGAAACAGCTTAACCACAGCAGTCAGCAATTGTAGTTGCACTTGAGCATTTTCATCAGCAAAACCTGAATTAGGCAGAAATAATGCGTTGAAATCCATCAGTGATTGAAACCGGCAAATTACCTTCGAGGAAACTGTCCAAGAGTTCATCAGCATTGTCAATTCTTTCCGCGTACTCGCCAATAATCCATACCATCGACGCTCTGGCTTCAGGTTCATCCAGAGTATCGAGGTTTTCGCACAAAGTGCTGATGATACTTTCATATTTATTCGGATATTTTCTGAAATATTTCCAAGAGAAAAATCACTGTATGTTCTTCTAAAGCACAAAATGCACACTAATGCGAAAGAAAATGTTCTAAAATACAACAGGAAATGCTGAAATTGTAAAAAAAATCTTCCTTTGACCAAGTAATAGGATTCTTGTTCGTGTATGCAATTTGTTGTTTTTGTATTTTTTCTGCATGCAACTGTAATAAAATATAATTGCTGGTTTTCAGGTTTCTAGGCCGTAGTCTGTAGGCATTTGGTCTCAACGTTTCGATATCCCGTATATGTTCGCATCTTCAGAGAAACGTTTACTTCAAGCGCTTACACTTCGCCTTTATATTAAAATAGTAGATGCATTGATTAAAATTCATTAAAACTAAAATATTGTCCTTAGCTAAGTACATTTGGTTCTCTTTTTATCCAAATTTTATCCCTCTCACTCTCATCGGAATCAAATTTGAAAAAATTTATCACATTTTTTTGCTTCTAGCATTTACAATTAGTGACATGGTCTAGACTATAATTTTCTGATGCAACTGAAAGTATCGGATCTGAAAATCATGAAAAACATCAAAATAGATTCATAAATAGAAAAAACCTGCAAGTACGGTCCTGTTTTCTTGGGTAAACGTCATTTTGCGCTGTTCCGGTGCTGTCATCATCATAAAATCTAACCTTAATGTGTAACCTGACATCAACCAAGCAAATATTTGTAATTTCAAGCTGTAAACGCAATAAAACGAGAAATAAACTGTGATTTTACCGGCGCAAAGTTAATAAAACCGATTATTCGGTAGTGATAAGCTGAAACAGTTTTTATAAACAATTGCCCAAATTTTACCTATAACTGAGGGAGTGTCCCGGATTTATCAGTTAATTAGTACGTGCATCATGCCTACTAAGAAAAGCCAGCAAATCGATGAGAATTTATTAGCGGAACGGTTAGCAAAGTTTACGCCAGGTCCTTTAGTGCAAGACACTCAACATTCCAAAGTCAAAAATGAAATTGAGATTCCAGCAGTGGAGGAAGGCGAAAACGTAATCGATTTGGCCAAAACCAACTATTTGAACATCCTAGATAATGAAGATATTAAAAAGCGATGTGAAGCCACTATTTGCAAGTATGGCGTTGGGACTTGCGGCCCCCGAGCTTTCTATGGTAGGCTCTACTATTACTGGGCCTCTTCTACTGCCCGCAGAATCATCAATATGAATCGTATTTTAGGAACCACTGATGTGCACCTGGAATTAGAAGAGCTTATTGCCAAGTTTTTCGGCATGCAAGAGTCAATTGTGTACTCTTATGGATTTATCGCAATATCCAGTTCAATCGCTGCCTACTGCAAGAAAAGTGACGTTGTCTTTACATCCTCAAACTGTAATGTTGCGATTCAGCAGGGATTGCAAATGGCTCGAAGCAAAGTAATCATAGGTCAAATGATCGAATTTTAGTTGTTTATTTGCGATTTTCTCTTAAAGGTGGTGTATTTTGATCATCAAGAACCGGAAACATTTGCCGTAGAAGTTGAGAAGTTAGTGGCACAAGAAACGAAGTCTAAAAAGAAAGCCAGAAAATTTTTGATAGTTGAAGGAGTTTCGTGGAAGACTGGGAAAATTCTACCTTTGCCAGCATTTCTGAAAATTGCCGAAGACAATAAAATTAGGGTGTTTTTAGAGGAATCGTACTCAATTGGTGTTCTTGGTGATAAAGGGCTCGGCCTAATGGAATATTTCGATATTGACTCTTGGCGGTTGGACATGATCATAGCCACCTTGGAAGCTGCCATAGGATCCATAGGAGGATTTTGTGCTGGTAAGTGTGAAAGTTGGCTTCCCATTTGTTGCCAAAATGATAATTTTTCCAGGATCACACAAGACAATAGAACATCAAAGACTATCAGGTAGCGGCTATATTTTCTCTGCTTCCCTTCCCACATTCCTAGTGCAAGCTTGCATCGAATCAATCAACTTGCTAAATTCCAAACCACATCACAAGTTAAACATTTTATCGGAAAAGTTTCATTACATGCTACTTGAGCTAGGATATCAAGTGGAAAGTGATCCGCTGTGCCCCTTCAAGGTCTTCAGCGTAAAGACAAAAGATGATAACGAACGACGAACCACCACAATCGCTATACACAAGTATTGTAAGCAAAATAAGTTGCATTTTATTTTGAACGATGATAGTTTAGTAATTAATCTTAACGTGGAATTATCAGCTAACACGCAAAAGTATGATCAAATAGAAAGTATTTTGAAAAGGGCCTTAAAAGAATCGCTAGCAGTATGAGTATAGCTAACCCTCCACGCGATTTCATTAGTATTAATAAGTATTACATAAATTGCAAATTTGTTAAGAAAACCACCGTAATGTTGCCTCCTTTTAAAATTGTTATTATTTTTAAATAATTCCTTAAAGAAATGAAATTTATTTATTCAACTTACCTGAAAATATCCTTAATAACCACGATAGCTTCTTGCACTACATAGTTCACTTTCGTTTGGATCAAGTCCAATAGAGTTGACACACAACGCTCTGCAGATGGTTCCACTTTGATGGCACATCTACCTATGGCTCTCACAGCTTTTCTCACAAAGTCCACATCCACCTGATGAGCACAAATAAAAATATTATTACTCATAGGGGCTTTAATTACTTATCAGTAGTTACTCACCTCTGTTGCATATTCTTTCAATTCACTCAGCACTTGAGCAATATTTCCTTGAGACGCCAAGCGGATCATTATGTCGAGTTTCTCGAGTTTCACATAAATAGGATCGTTATATTTAACGAAAAAGACCTGTTGAATAGAATTATATTGAGTTTTCTTTACATACGGGTGTGTTTGACTTTACCTTCATTTCGTGCTTGAGAATGTCCGGTTTTTTCTGAACAATCAGGTTGATATTTCTCAAAGCAACATACTGAACCTAAAACGTAATAAACCAGTCAACATATCGCAGGTTCTAAATGAAATCTGCTTACTTCAGGCTCTGAACTGAGTAAGGTAACTAGCGGAGGAGCAAGTTTCTTGCTCAATGTGTTGCAAAACTCTACATCTCCCTGCAGAAGAAACACAAACGTTGGTTTTGTATTGTAAATGCAAAAAAAACGAAAATACCTGCAAAATTTCCATCATCTTAATCAACACTTTGACTGCTGATAAAACCACCGCAGCATTGGCATGAGCCAATCTAGGAGTGATTCTTTCGCAAATACTTTGCGCCTCTCTTTCATCTCTTGGAGTATAGTTGGAAAGCGAGTCTAGGATGAAAACTTGTCCCCATTCCGTGCACTCATTTAAGGCAGTGAGCAGTTTGTTGATTGTAGTAGTACTCAACTCTAAAAACATATTTATATGAGTGCCATTTATTTAATTTTGAGTTTCCTACAATCCGTACCAACTAATGGTTGACCAGTAGGGCTGCTTTCATTAATTTCAGACAAAGCAGCAACTGCATTTGCCACCACCATCGGATTAGAATCGCTCAACAGTTCTTTCAATTGCTCCAAAAATCCTTGATCCTCAACTAATCCTAAAACATGCTAAATGAAGCAACATACTTCATTGGAGGTGTTAACAACATTCACCTGAAGAGATATCATATAGTTTCGCCACACATACAGCTGCAGTTTTCCGCACGTAAGGGTCTTCATCTTTTAGGCATTTGCGAAGTGGTTCGCAAAGATATTCAGTGATTTTGTCTACTCTGATGCAACCCATAGTCCTTACAGCTAAGGCTCTGATCAAAGGATTTGGATCTTCACAATCCTATATAGAAATTCTCCATTTTTAGGTACAAGATAAGGCCAACATTTCAAACATGATGCCGCGTTTTTGCTCATATTTCAAGAACAAATTGAGAAAGCGTGTTTATTTTTTCACCACTAAATAAAGAATTGAATAACATGTTCAGTAAAGTCTTTTAGTTTTACGCCGTTTTGGCAAACTTGGGACTTTTTGCACAAATCTAAGGAATAAATGGAGCTAAAGCCCTAATTTCTACACCTCCCCCCAATATAGAATTTAATAACACATTTATTAATTGAAATAAAACTTGAAAATATTAGCAACTTAAACAGCGAACACAGCAACATAAAAAGCGAATTTGATTAAAACAAGTTTTCAGAAAGACAAACCCAAATAATTTTTTTAAATTGTCAAATAAGATAAACAAGCAGGTAAAATGTTGTGCGTGATTTAAATATACAGAACGTCCCAAATTTGAATTCTACTATTAGCGTTTCGAAACTCATCAGACGGGATGCAGTTCGAAGATGCAGTTCTGTTGAAATATTTGAAAATTTAATTTATCCAACTTAAATATGCCCTCAAGGAAAACTGCTTGAAATTTAAACTCCATCCCTTGAAGCTTGCCAATGGCAGAATTTGGGCCACCCTCTGTTATATTTAGTATAAAATATACTGAAATATAATACATAAAAAAATAACGTTAATTCTTACCTTGACGAACGTGTTCACCGCCATAATCGCCATATCTGGTTGCGACTTGGCATAGTTCATCAAATAAAGATAAACCAACTTTTTCAATTCTAAATTGTCGGTCTGCATGCAGTTAACCACGTCAGGAAATAAAGCGGATACGTCTTTCCCCACGGTCATCGAGGCAATTACCTAAGGAAAAAATTGCACAATTTTGAAGAGTGAAATAATTTCTTTGAACCATTAATTTTGAAGTCAGATTGATTAAAAGGGTGTAATTGAGTGCGGGTAAAATGCGTAAGGATTTTAAAAATATTTTGTCATCTTGTAAAAAAGACATATGCATTTCGCAGACGTAGAGACGACGCTTTAACTTCGAGACAATCGCAGCCCCAAATCACCTTTAAATGGTGTTTGTTATGCCACACTTTCCTACTTTGGCCACCCAGAATAAAGGAATGTTTTAAGGAACAGTTAAATAATAAGAGGAACAAAAACCAGGCAGAAACATGACGGTAGTAAAAGATCCTCGAGATTAGTTTAAATTAAAGAGTGAATGTAATGAGCAAAATGCAGATAAACCCTTATCAGAGTAACTAAAATCAAATGTTGATTATATCTAATTAATATTGAAGCAATTACTCACCTTCTTCACCGCCTCCTTTTTCTTTTCCTTCTTATCATTATTTAATTCGGATTTTAACTCGAATATTTCACCTTTTTTGGTGGTGGTGAAATACTTGGAGTCGGTCATTTCGGCCTTTTGCTGAAAATTGTTCTAATAATGATTGGATGTTTTCGGCAATTACAGTCACTTGGATGCTTATTTCACTTGGTTTAGGTACAAAATGCAGAAAACCAATAAGGAAAACAGAAAATCCACCCTATTTTGAGTTTTGACGTGTAAATAGACTTAACCTTAATTGTATCTGTGTCTTGTCTTCTTGCCAAGGATATAATAAAATAATTTTTTGCACGATTTTACCAACTATCGGCAATTGAGGCTTCTATATTTCATTGCTAACTCAATATTGAAGGCAAATGTTATAAATTGCTAATAAATTATTAATTTGAACCTCTCCATAACCTATCTTCTATCTAACCAACCAATTTGAAGGTTAGCTTAGCACTTGTATCACTGTCTCCCAGAGCTGCGATAGATCTTCAGATTTAGAAGATTTTATCCATATATTTGCAATGGTAAGTGCAGGTAATTGCAAGCGATGAGCATTGTGTATATGCGTGCTTGAGCACCTTTGTATAATATAGCGTAGATATAGAGAAAAGTGCGGTTAAACTTGACCAAACACTCGCTCTCCTCACACGCTATCAATTGGCACTCGCACCAAGCTGGTCTAGTTTCTACTCCTGTTAATATTGAGTTTACTTAATTGCAGGCCCATACAATCCTTTTGGTTCAACCCGGTGCAAACCCTGAAACCAGAACATATTCGGACTACGAGTCTGTAAATGATTGTATGGAGGGCGTCTGCAGAATATACGAAGAGCATTTGAAAAGGAGAAACCCCAACACTCCAACTATTACCTATGACATATCCCAGTTGTTTGATTTCCTCGATCAGGTATAGTGTTGCAGTGTTAATTAATCCTTTTGTATTCCTGACGTTATGTTTTCCGGCAGTTAACCGACTTGAGCTGCTTAGTCTACCAAAAATCCACAAACACATACGCTCCGTACAACAAGGAATGGATTAAGGAGAAGATTTACATATTACTTCGGCAAGCGGCAGGCCATACGGACTATAACTTATGAAAATGAATTAAGTTTAAGTATTTTCGTTTTTCAGCTGGTACGTCGTTGAAATCACTGCATACATAAAAAATTGCTCTCAAGCAATTATTAAAATATATATGCTAATTTAAATATTCGAAGTATGTTTGAGAATCGTTTTTTGTATGAAAGAAATACTTTAAATGATAAGTTTGTAACTAATTTCATTAATGGCATATTTGTCGATTTCGGTAGGTTTTACTCAATTTTGACTAGACAATTAACTGAACTATTTGGTCAATTGGTCAAGTGGAAGGGAAATGCCGTCAAATGGTGTGCGTTCTTAATTAAACTATTAGACTAATGTTAAAATGTGTTAAGTTAATTATTTTTTGCCGGTTTTCTACAAAAACTTGTAGGTATTATTTGTGTCAGTTTAGTTTTTCACATAAACATTTCCTAATTTTTTCCTCCGTATGCTCTTACACCTATAATCTATAGCTAATGCTCATCTAGACAGCTAATGTTAAACATTCTCACTTTTCTATTCATATCAAATACCCAGAATTATTTTTTTAGTTTCAGCTCATTTGCTTGTTTAAGTTTACTTGTACAGGGTGAGTCTTTCGAACTGTTGAAAATGGGTGAGAAAAAAGCATTTTTTTCAGAAATGGACTTTTGTTATATTTGTGGCACTGATGGAAAATTTGAATAATCGACTAACTAATAAATATACGACGATCATACTTTACATTGCAATATATTCACTCAATTTCTAATGAGCAAAACTTCTTTAAAAGTTGTGCGATTAAAATTCTGTATTAATTTACACCTCAGCAAGAAATTCTAAAATATGAGTCATTCGAAACTTTTTCATGTAAGATCCAGGTAAATACGGATAAGCAAAAAATCTGAATCATATCAGAGCAGCTGCTATTGCTTATAGAGCCTCAGAGAAGAAATGGTTGGACGTTAGATATTCATCCCCCTGTATAATTAATTAAGAACATTTTTGTTTTTGAAGGCAACATTGCCAACCTCGCCTCCCAATTCCTCAACTCCTCAACAATTTAAATTGCAAACCAGTGACGTGGGTCAACAAATATCCATAATTGAATAATGTTGGCTACAGGGCACTTGTTATTATAAATGTGTTTTTTTTTTGTATTAAAACCCAGATATTTTTTTAATGTTTTATTTCGTAATTAATTAGTAATTAGATCAGTTAATTGGCCAACTAATTAATCAGTAATCAATGTTTTGTGCTATTGGCCCGAGTAATAAAGGATGTGTTTCTGTGGAGCAAGAATAAATAAATGAGTTTAATAGAAATCGGTATTTTGGACTATGTAAACTTGTTTTAATCCAAATCCCAAATTTTCTGAAAATTGTCTCGGTTAAAAGTGCGTGTAGGTATAATGTGAGGTCAGAGCTTGTTAAACGACACATTATTAATTATGATTACTTACCAGCTGGGGACAACAGTACTAAACCACAAAATTGCAATTATTGCAACAGGTTAGTGCAATTAACGGCCAAAAAATTACAATTTTTGATGAAAAATTAGTGTTTCTTGAAGAAATCCAAAGTTGAATTCTGACAATGCTTGCGATGTAAGAGAAACGTCGCGGGAAATTCGAGGACACTTAAATTGAAGAAGTTGTGTTTGAGTATTTGTCAATTTTTATAGCTTCAAAATCCGTTAATAAATTTCGGACTTCCACATCTGTGTAAGAAAAATATTAATGTTATGTAAAGAAAAGTTGGAGATAATTTTTTCGCACTGAAAATCACTGATCTGTTCATTGATCAAATTAATTTAAAAAAAATTCTGATATTGAAAACCATTTTCTTTATCTACTAGTGCTCACTTGCTTATGATATTACTAAACTGATTTATTCATTTAATTAACATTAAATAATTTGTCCATCAAGCCGCTGAAAAAGAAGGAAAATCAATTAAAATTCGGAAAATTTCTACTCTTCTAAGCCCCACCCATCCGCCATTGGAAGCCAGTTGGGTGGCTTTACGTGTGATAAATGAAAGGACTTCAAGTTGGGATTAATAGACTGCCTAGGTAGGGTGTTAGGAAAGGGCAAGATGGTCAGGACGGCAATAATGATAGTTTTATGGTGGGAAATATGCAGGGTGTTATTTTTTTAAATATATTTTGAGTAATTTTTTTTGCAAAAAGCAAAGCAGAAGTTTTATTAAATGACTGCGCCCTGTTTTGCAACTCTAGCCTTACGGCAATGGGCTATTAAAGAAGTAGGCAATGCCGCAGAGCTCCTTTAGAGTAGGAGAGAGGGGAAGACTTGACTTGCGTGGTTTGCACTTCGGTTACATTTTTTTTTATAATTAGTTGACTTCATTATTAATCAAGCTTTTGACTTCAAAAATGTAATCTTTGGAAAAAAATTGAATCGAAGTTCTAAACACGAATAAAAAAGTTTCACTCTCTTGTTATTAACAATTAATGTTTTGTTTTTCAATTTTAAATTCTCATTTAATTTGTAAAGTGTATTAAATCATTAAAACTGTATCAAATTGAAAAGACTATTTTCAAAATACCTACTGTGGCTTTGTTGGTTACTTGTTTTGACATGACCCTGATTTAAACGCAAAATTAAGAAAAGTTTGCTGATTCTGAGAAAAATGCAGTTGTGCAGAGCTCTTTTAGAGACGACAGAAACTTTACTTGCGTGTTTCGCACTTTGCACTTTTGGCTTCATTACCAGTTTTTATTTGGGCTTTTAAGATTTATTAATTGATTAAAAAAACTTGAAACGAACTCCAAAATACACATAAAAGTATCGTGGCGGTAACAAGCTCATATAAGCACTAAATACTTGGTATTTGCGTTGGAATGAATGATAAAAAATGCAAGAAAAGTGCGAAACGCGGAAGAAAAATCACTATCTAAAACAGAAATTTAAAAAATCGACTTAATATGTACAAAATTCCTACCAGTCACTCATGGTGAGTAAGTATTATAAAGTCTCTATTGTCTAATAGCCAAATATCAACATTAAGGTGAGAGTGCGGCGATACTCAATGTTTTAGATCTGTCAATTCGTCCGTCGCCGTGCGAATTGACAGATCTCCAACCAATAGAAATACTTTCGTACCATCGTATCATCGTACAAACGGATGCATGGGACACGGCCTTAAGGCAAATTATAACGAAATAAAAAAAATGTTCCATTTCAAACACTCAGCATAATGGACTATTCACACAGACCAATAAACATGTGTAATAGTTATTCATAAGCGAAAAAAATTTGTAGGTAATTGAAAATTGCAACTTCCCGTTTGATTTTAAATATAAATGCGTCTAATTAATTGGCTGAAACTTAATGGAAAAATTAAAGAAAATTAGTCGAGTGAAATTGGTAAATCTAGAAATAACCATTTTTTTAAAGAATTTCTGAAAAGTGATGGAAATTGTGAGTGCCAAATATTTGCAATTTTTTGCTCCACAAAATTGAGTTTGGAAATGATAATATTCATCGATTTTAAAATTTAGAATGCGAAAAAAATGGATTCGTTTGTTAAATTCGCCTCGATTTTACAAAAGCTCGACGGTTTGACAAAAACTAGAATAAAAAACTCCGCCCTTTTTAGCATTGCTTAATTTACCCCAAGAACTCACTAAAACTGCCTAAAAAACATCCATGGAAAAAAATGCGCTGTCGCCACCACTGTGATTATTTCAAATAAAACAGACCCCACCCACTCGATGAAATTCGCGCCACTTTCACACCATTCGCGATCCGCGAATCTCAGTTGATCGTCTGTGGATTAGATGGCGCCATGTAACATGTTGCGAATTGGTCTGGTCTCGTTTGTGATCCGGTTTTTCGTTTATTTTTCGCAAAATTAGATGGAAAAAAATGTTTCCGGAGTGCCGTACTCGATCTGTAGGGTGTTCTGTTCAGGTTGCAGCAATCCAACAGCCCCATGCAGTCAAATACTGGACGAAAAGCGGATTTATTTGGTAAGTACCTTTGGGAATCTTCAGTAGTGTCTGACCTAATTTTACGTTTTCTTGTCTATTTGGATGCGAAGGGCTGCATATTTATGTTGAGGGACAAGCTGGGTGAATGAGGTTTTCGTGTTCAAAGGGGTTTGACGAGATTTTGCCAAATTTATGTGAAAACGCCCAATCAAAATTATAGGTTATTTTTGCACACATCCCAGGTAGCTGTGGATACATTTTTTACTAACCAGAGAGTCTTGGGGCTCTACTATTAAGCAGCGCCCCTTTTGTGCCGTCTTTACTCTTAATGTAGCCCCTGTTCGATGGCGCAGCATCCCGGGGAGAGTGTTAACTGTCTAATTAAGCTCCAATTATATAAGATTATTCTAAGATTTAATGGGGCTCAATATCCTGTACAGTTGTCCATAAATCGCGAGATGACCAGCCCAGTTAGGTGTCACTGGTAGCATGCCGACACATTTTGTTTATGATTCCATGTGTATTTGCTCTCAATTCTGGGTGTATGTACTCTCAACTCATTAAATAAGATAAAAGATGCTTATCCTAGGATTATAAATAATTTCCTTGATAATGGTTTTATTTTTGGCTCATTTCTTATATACTTTCCTGGTGGAATGCTACTTAACAAATTGAATTTTAAATAGCATCGCTCGTTACATCTACTTATGTACTTGAAAAAATTCACTTTTCATGTGGATCAGATTGTTTTTCGACGAATTTTTACGTTAATTTCACTAAAACGCTAATAACGGTTTGGAAAAAATATTCGTACCGTAACTTTTATTGGGTTTATATGTAGCGCTCTAATCGGCAGCAATTCCACAATGCTTAACTATGGGACTTCTATGGCAGTGTTCCTTGGCAAAAAGCGACAATCCAAATCAAAGGGGCATTTTAAGTAACTTGGATTAAAGTTCTTAGAAGATTTATGAGAAACCTATGTTTCTCAAAAAAATCGGAGGCGGCAATAAAATGATACTTAATTAGGAATCAGAAGATGAATTACTTAAAATGCACTTGTTCGATTGTGAGATGTTTTTAGAATTTTGAGAGATTTACTTGATTAATGGGAAACAATGTGCAAAAAATTGTTTTAATTAAGGATTAACCACATTTTTCAGCCATCAACCACATTTTTTTAAATAGCGTCCATATACATACGTCCTTTTAAACTTTTCCTGGGAGACTTTTTCATAACATGGCGTTAATTTCACCAAAACGACCCAGAAACAGTATTTTCTGAGTTTGTACAGCTGGTCTGGGAGTCTTCAACTTGAAATAAACTCAGTACTTACTTAAATAAAAACACGTTTTTTTTGCAACATCCTCATGAGTCTATTAAATTGGGTTCGTTTTCATTTAAGAAAATTTGATACAGCGTGTCCCAAATTTGTGATATCACGCCATCTACGATTTTTTTTAAACGAGAACACTGATTTTAGTTGACTGGTCTTACACGATTTTTCGAGCTATACATGCCTATTAAATACGAATTTTGTATGTAATATTTGTTGAAAATATTTTTTAAAACAATCAACTAGTTAATAAGAAAACAGAGAATCTGCTTGAACTCAATAGTGTTTCTTCAATAAATGCTGTTCGATTAACCAACTGACAATATCCTACACGGATCTGAAATCGTTTTGAAAATGTTCCATTACTACGGCGGAAATTAGTTCTCAAACAACACTTAGAAAAAAATCACAAATTCCACTGGACAAGTCACGAAAATTACGGTCTACTGCACAAAGAGGGTAAATGTTAAAAAATCGTCCATCAAATAATAAATTTTGACGGATTTTGATCAAAATTGGCGGAAAAATGTACATTCTACCGCTATACTGGATTTTTCTTCAGTTCGATAGCGTTTTCTGATAAAGTGGAAAATAATTAAAAACATTTAAAATCGCCCCCGTACTATAAGTGACCCATTCAAACGCGAACACATTAATTCGGATGTCTCTCTTGTTACGAGTAGGAGTGAGATCAGCATATCAATTGCTATGGCAACCCGCCTGTCTTTGTTTTCACTTCTCGGTTTACGAGAGCTGGTCGGAAAATTGCTTACATTGTGTTGCCTTTTCTATGCCAAAATTATTTAATTAACGATTTAGTTAGACTTAGTAATGATGAGTAGCCGTCGCTCTGTTTGTTACAAATCTGGTGGTTTAATAATCATGCGCCGAAAAATCAAAGTGACTTGTTCACAGAATTGTACAACCTTTGAGCTCGACTAGAGCTTCACAATATTTATCCAAAATTAAACATTAAACAGCTTAAAACCTATACGCTCAACGGGAGAAAAATAATTTATTGAGTGATAATGGAGGC